ATAATGAATACAAATAGCAAAAAACCCATAGGAAATGAGATATTTACAAAAAAAGCGCAAAAAAACGATTTTTGTGACCTTTGACCTTGAAATTTAATAGTTGCTTACACCCTACCATATGTAGGTTTTGAGACAACTTTTAGGGTGTCAATATACACTTACAGCTGGGTATCTCGAATTCCGAGTTTCTTACCTAATTTAAGCTTAAATGACTGGATTATGTAAGCTATTTAGGCTGTCAAATCAAATTCTTCTTTCAGGGTGAACTTCTCTAGCAGATTCTCTATTGCTTTATTCTTTAGATAGAGTTTCAAAACCTATAAAATGTATAAATATCGACTCCTTCACAAAAAACTCCTTTCAAAAGAATTATATTCATTCTATTATTTAAAACTATCTTCATTTACCTCAAAATAAGCCACTTTCTTCAAATTGACTCCGTGTATCACGTTTGTGTACTTATTTCGAATGATGTTCAAAATATCACTATATAATCGGATATTTCGAATAATTTTGTAGTATAAGGTATCTGATTCAATAATGAGTAACATTTATTTGTTTTTTATTAATTGCACCTCATGTAAATGTGATTTTCAATAATTGTGAAGGGATGAAATGTGCTCAGTGGAATGAATGAATCAACTTCCTTTGTCAGACATTCTATTTTCGGACGTAATTCTCGAGTCGGAATACCTGAATGTTCAGTTGGATAGCCTACAACTGAATGTTGATGAACATGTGATTCAACACCTTCTATGGGGACGCCTCTAGATGGCGTCATCGTAGAGAGACCTGTCATCACCTTCGTTTACTGTTGATGCTACTATACGTTTGTGTCATGAGCGAATTTTGATATTGCTTCACAGGAACATACCAAAGGGCCATTCTAGAAAGTGGATCTTCTCTATGTCTTTGGGCATTACACAGAGAAGCCAATAGAACAGCTCATCAAGTAGCAAAATTATTCAACGTGGACTCATCTAATACAAGTAAGATACTTGAAGGGTTGAGAAAAATCGACTACAGAACTCTTCAACAGGGATCCCTTGCAGAAGCATCGGCGGTGAGTTATTCGTAAATATTATTAAAGTTTGTTATACTGACATATGTTGAAACTTTTCATCTAAAACATTCATTATTCTTTTTAATATTTGGAAAGAATGATATTCATAACCAACATTGAATTTTTTGATATTATCGGTGAAAAAATCATATTCCACAGTTCAGCAGAAATAAATTTTGTCTCACAAGTGAAACTTGAGCTCTGAAAATTCACTATCACCTGAATATCGAGTAGGAAACAATAGTTACACTGAATCCGTAATTCAATCTGTCATTTTCGATAACCAAGATGCATAGAATATCTCTGGTGTGATCACTTGGATCCCTCACCCATGTAAAATATTTCGTCAAGAATTATCGACCCAGGACACTCTTGATAAAATAATAATGGAGAGATCCTATAAGTTTCAGCCTCCCATTCACAGAGATGCTGACTATACTTCGAGTGATACTACTTGACAATAGTGTCATTATTTCCGGGTGGATTTTTGGAATTTTTTCCTGACGTTTCACTGGCGCGAGTGGCTAGCTTCTCAAAGGTTTATACATCCTAGATTATTATCCGATGAATGAAAATTACGGTTTCATAACACGTATTTATGCTGTGTCAGCTAGTTAAGATTGCTAATACCTGTACCTGGATCAAGTGATTTGTAAGTAACATTCATTACTGTTTTCTTCCTGCTGTCATGCTGTTTGCTATCCTTTCACCCAGGCTATGCTTTCCACCCAGGCTCTACGGTCTTCTTAAAGTACACAAAACTAACATGTTACTGAGACTAACAGTCAGTGTCCCAAGCTAACCAACCTATCCCTTGGTGAAACATCCAGCCACGCTCCTCCATCGTCATGAAGGAAAGACAAACTCCTACGTCGAAGACTCGACAGACTTCGTTGGTAAAATCAGCGACTTAATGCTGGAGCCAACGAATATCTTGGTCAGCTTCGATGTTGCGTCCTTGTTCACCAATGTTCCACTGAAAGACTCTCTGAGAGGGCTATTCCACGTGTTTCCGAGTGATACAGTCGAACACTCCAGAGCATGTATCACGGGGAGTTACTTTCAATGGAGGGAAAACTTCTATGAACAACTAGGTGATGTGGCGATGGAAAGTCCACTCAGCCCAGTGATAGCGAACTACTCCATGGAACGTTTTGAAGAGAAAGCAATCGACACCTTTGAATTGAAACCGACCTTGTGATTGCGATACGTAGATGACACCTCCGTCATCTGGAAACGTGAAAGAGACGCTGTGAAACTTTTCCTAGACCACTTGAATGTTCAACACCCAAGCATGAAGTCCACCATGGAGACTGAACAGGATTAGCATTCTTAGATGTAATAATTCAACGATATGGTGCTAGACTAACCCATAAAGTGTGGCGAAAACCCATGCTAACGGATAGTTACCTGTAAGCACTAACAAATCACCATCCTAGTCAGAAGAGAGAAGTCATACAGAACGGGCTCGAGGAATATGTGAACCAAAGCATCTAGAGAAAGAACGGGGACACCTCCGAGTGACCTTGGGATCGAATGAATACAGTGTACCCGAGATCAATAAACCCATGCAACTAAAGACTCATACAATTCAAAACGGGAATAATGATCAAATGGTTGCACGTGCGTTTCTACCATATATCCCTAGAGTCACAAACATAATGGAAAACTATTGGGGAAACACGACATTAAAACAGATTTCAAATCCACCAGGAAGATATACAACAAAGCCTGAGGTCTGCAAAAGACAAAAGAGACCCACTATCAGCAGCAGGGGTCTATCGCATACCGTCCACTTGTGAGAAGCTATATAACAGAATAACAAAAAGATCCATGGGGACAAGGCTGAAGTAGCATGAAAGGAACTGCGGACTGGGTCAAACGGACAAGTCGGCAGTCGCAGAACACTGAATTCTGTTCGAAAACATTGAACTCATTGCCCCCAACGGGAGGCAATAGAAATCCACAAACACACGAATAATTGTAAATAGGAAAGAAGAAGCTGTGAATCTGAGTTGAATATGGAATCCTATTCTGACAAGTTCTAGAATAACAAACAGCATTCCAGGTATTAGCACTCCAAACTACCTGACAATATGAAAATGCGTTACGAAACCGAATATTCAGTCTTCGGCTATTGATCCAGGATGTTCAAACCTCTGAAGAAACTAGCCAATCGCGTCAGCGAAACATCAGGAATAAATTCGGGAAATCCATGGTCTCCAAAATCGAAAAATAGTGACACTGAAAAGTAAGTTCAAACACCTGGGTTTACATACATCTTGTCGATGACGTTCGGTTGATAGCTAATTTTTCAGTGAGTTCCACTCTTCAAATCACTGCTTATCATCGATACCGGTTTGATCGAAAACATTGAACTCATTGCCCCCAACGGGAGGCAATAGAAATCCACAAACACACGAATAATTGTAAATAGGAAAAAAGAAGCTGTGAATCTGCGTCGAATATGGAATCCCATTCTGAAAAGTTCTAGAATAACAAACAGCATTCCAGGTATTAGCACTCCAAACTACCTGACAATATGAAAACGCGTTACGAAACCGAATATTCAGTCTTCGGCTATTGATCCAGGATGTTCAAACCTCTGAAGAAACTAGCCAATTGCGTCAGCGAAACATCAGGAAGAAATTCGGAAAATCCATGGTCTCCAAAATCGAAAAATAGTGACACTGAAAAGCAAGTTCAAACACCTTGGTTTGAACGTTTGGTTGGTAGCTAATTTTTCAGTGAGTTCCACTCTTCAAATCACTGCTTATCATCGATACCGGTTTGATCCTTACTCATTTTCAAAGTTTATATACGACATAATATGGAACTATAGGCTAGTGTGATATGTGGGTTACTTGAATATAATTTCTTGTGTTCAGTATTGATTATTTGACCCATGTGGAAATTACAGGCTAAAAAAAATCAGTTGAACTCCAGCATGAACAAATTTCATTCTTAGCGTAGTCTCCCGTGAAGGGACGACGACTGCTGGTTAACGAAGAAACCCATTATGAACTACATGCCTTGAAGAATGTGAGAAAAAATCAAACAACAAAATGAGATTTGTGAAATATTACACATTTTCTGGAATATAATTGGTTCGGAGATTCTTTCTTTGACATTCTTGAATAATTTCAATTTTCGCGTTATGTGATCACAGATCCATTACATTTTCATATTTTTCAAGATGGATAGAAATATCATGATGTAATCATGTGAACTCCTTCCTATAATGAATATTTTGACAAAAACATTCTATAAACGATACTCTCCATTCTTCATGAAATAAATAGATCAATTCACAGAGGCGCTAAGGGTGGGCCAATGTTATCAATGGAAATAATTCTTGTTCCATCAACATGTGCACAAAGTTATACCAATCTCATTTCTTGCGTCGAGAGATTTGTACAAAACGAATGCGTACGGTTGAAACGTCAGGGTTTCTATGCATGTTGCTACGTTTTACCCATGATTGACTACACTGTCCAATTAAACTCGACCTCATTTCACTGCCATATCGTCAATACAACACAAACATTTTAACTGAAACTTCAGACTGATACTCAAATGTATATCGCCTTATTGGATTACTTCGTACCACACTTTAAAATAGACTTTCCCGATCTGCGCATTAGTAGTGTTTATGTATCGTAGCGGAAGTCTCTGGAAGCCGATTGGTGCTGATAATGAAAATTCTTTCAATTTTCACATAACTTTAGAAGTGTTTCCGAAATGTGTTACAATCTGTCTGTCTGTCTGTCATTATTTATCAATAATGTCTTTCATAATTCAAATATTTTTGCGGCTTATTGTATTCAAACTCACTTTTCATAAGAGCGAATCCCACTCATTTGAATATATTTTTCAACTTTTCATATTCATACCTATAGAGTTCCTGAAGATGGGCTGATATATTCTCGAAATTTTAAACATTACTCGGTTTTATTCTCTACGAATGCAATGCCTCCTCTAAATGTCTGCCTGTTTTTTAAACTAGTCAATCTAGCTAACATATAATTGGGATGAATCCAAATATATGTTGTATCCATATCAAAATGAGGTTTATTGAAAAACTAACTCATTTGTTCATTTCAGATAGCCTTAGAGAATCCACTAGCAGGAATACAATTTGGTCCCGTCATAGAACCATATCACAGTGGAGCCTTCTTTTTCAACTATAGTGAAAGAGGTTTATCAGAAGGTCACTTCAATCACGTTCCTACTATAATGGGAGTGAATTCTAATGAAGGGGCTACGGCAGGATCCATACCTGGTGAAAAATTTATTACTTTTTATTTCGATTAGTTTGAGTTATATTTACTATATCTATCCATTTTTTTATGTCAAGAGTAATTTCGGCGGGACCAGCGGTCCCACATCGAACAGAGGTCCCACATAATAACGTGATGCATTTCATTAGTTAAGACTTCCTTTGTCTAATGTGATATGAATTGATGTGAAATCCCTGAAAAAATCTGTAAAAAAATTAAAAGATTAGCTGAAAAATAACAAGTATATTAAGCAAAAAAAACTGAAATTACAATGAAATAAAATACAAGCAACAACCAAAAAAAAATTAAAAGATTAGCTGAAAAATAACAAGTATATTAAGCAAAAAAACTGAAATTACAATGAAATAAAATACAAGCAACAACCAAAAAATCAAAAAAATCGAACTATTAACAAGAGATGAAAATTAGAAACAAATATTAACAAGAAATGAAAAATTAGAAGATTCCAAGCCATGACACTCCACGACGTTTCTATTGTTGATATCCACAATCGTCTTCAGGTGATAGCGTATCTTTTAATTTTCTACAGATTCTTTCAAGGATTTCGTATCAATTTATATCATATTAGACAACCACCACCTTCAAAAATAATAACGTGAATTCTACATTTGAGTTCATTTTGAAAGAGCATAGAAAAATTCATGCAGAAAGCTTGAATAAATAGTGAATATCAGAAAATGCATTTTCAAATAGACTTTGATATACGTGGCTGTTCAAAAAATAAAGGAAATGTTCAAATTCTGCGGGCTATGTATATTCGATTAGCGATTTTTTTATTTTTTCATGTTAGTACAATCATCTTAAATATAAATTCACAGTTTCAGTGTTTTGCTTGTTCGGCGATTTTCTGCTATCGGAAAAATAATTCGAAAGAATTTGCATGTGCATCAAATTTTGTGTAAAAATTGAAATTGGGTGCTCAGAAATACTTGAAATGTTAACGGTGGCATACGGTGATTGTACTCGATTCAGAGAAGTGTTTACTAGTAGTACTGCTTTCTTAAATGCCTCTTATCATTTTCAGTTAAATATTGCTCAGTTCGAAGGCAATAAGAATTACCTGGCTCACTTGAATATGAACACTAATTTTTGTTCGAGAGATGACCTATTTATTCTGTTAAAATTCATTCATTCAATAGTTGGGAATCGTTATATATTTTAATTAGTAATATATAAGATAATTAGTAACAAATAATAAACTTACTAGAAATTAGACAAAAGTTATTTTCATTATTCTATATTCAACACCAATTGTGTAAATAAGTTTCAACTTTAGGTATATATGTATATATTTTCCTATTTTGATCTCTAGATTGGTTCGATTCGTTGTTCACGAGCTTCATTCTACAAGCTCTCAGTACCATTCGAATATTCAATTATATCATTGCACACTGCCAATGGGATAAATTCAGATTTGTTTTCTTATTTCGTTTCGTTCAGTATTGACCCCGTTCCGTAGTCAATTTTATCAATTGTGAGTATGGTAGAGTGTACGATTACAGTGACGGCTCGTGCATTGGGGAACAGGGGAGGCTAAAGTCATAAAGACTATATACACACCGAAAAGCCTGCCGAAGGCGCGAACATTTTTTGGGGTACCGCACCTATTTGAAGCAAAATACGTAATATTTGCATAATTGCAAACAAAAATTGTGTATTGCCGAAAATTATACGTATAAAACTGACCATTAAAAAACAAAAACAAGGAAAAAGGGTTGTCTTTGAGTTATTTAATATAAATCATTTTTAATTTTTCATTTTCAAACATTAAATTTAATGAATATGAAGGACACTTGCAATTTTGAAACATTTGAGGGTCGCTGTACATTACGATCAATTAATTTTTCAGTTGAATAAGATCGAAAAATGGATACTGAGCTATTGAGTCGTTATACAGTTTTTGGGGAAAATCTTAGGCATAGGACGGAAATTTTTCAAACAACAACGAATCAAGGTAGTTAATTTTAATTAAATCTTCAAATCTAAGTTTGATTTGCATTGGAAAGGTGTCCAATATTTCATTATAAATCTGTTTATAATTTTGTCTCAAGTCGGGTAAGTCTAAATTGGTTTTTCTTTTTTTCGGCGCCGGCGGTTCGAGAGTTAAATCAATTGATTCGAAAATATCATTGAAAAATGTATCGTTATTTTTGAAATTCATCAAAATTCTGTTGAATTGTTCACCCGTTGTTTTGAGTAATTGATATCTGTTGATTTATTTTGAAGAATAGAAAAAACAACATCGATATGTTCAAATATCACTTCAAATATTTCTAACAAGAAACAAAACTTGTGATCATTCAACATATATTTGAAACATTTCGCCTCCCTAAGACTTTGGTCATCGGTTTTAAAATCGTCACTGTTTAGGATAAAACCAAAGACATCAATCAATTTATCTTTGTTTGAATGCACTGAAATTACTGCTCTAGATGTAGAATTCCAACGCGTAGCTGCAAAAGTTGGCATTCGGCTACCACATATTTCATTTAAAACATGGCTTCTTTTGGTGGATTCTCATTATTGATACCTGAAACGCATTATCACTATTTGAAAGTGGCAAAACAGAATTGGAATAAAAATCAAATAAATAGATATTTTCCTCATAGGTTTCTGATGAACATTTACAACTTTTTATGATCTGGAGAGCAACTTGCATTCCCGTTGTTGAAAAGTACTCATTACGTTTTCAGTTTCTTGGCCAGGTACCACTCCTTTTCCTTTTGGGCATATTGATACTATCTTGAAAAATAATGATGAACATTATGAAAACAAATTATACAAAAGAATGTGTCATTCTCTTACTTTTCTCTACTGAAGATACACAACTGAAATCACTCCCGTTTAAACATGTACTCAGTCAAACCAACAAATTCCACACATCAACTCTCTTTGGGCCTAAAATGAGGTACTGTAGGTTAAGCACCGTGACTTTATTATTGATACTTTTACTTACTTTTCTCAAATACTGAATATGTAACTCTACTGTTTGAAGATGCATGAGAAAACTATTCGCTGTACTGTAAATTGGACATCCTCAAACTATAAATGGTACAGTAAACATTGGAAAATGATACTTTGATCATAACGCTAATGCCAAACGCCATGTTGAACCAATTGTCTATTTCAAAGCAAAGCTGTCAAGCGTTAAGGGGCAGCCGCTTTCACAGAGCTTCGACTGTCTTGCGCTACACTTCAATTGAGCAATGAGAAACGTTTACTCCAATACTTCACTTCCCCATTTTTTGTTGCCATGATTTGTCGCTTCGTAATTGAATAATTTCAAATACAAAAAGAAAAATAGGATGAGAATAAACCGATTTATTAATGCAATTGATTCATTTATTGGACCATTCGATTTTTTTGTCGTTTCCAATAGTTGGAATAATTCATCAGAATCTTCGCGATGAGTTCAAAAACTGGTTGACACTATAAGGGTTATATACATTCAGTTATTCATTCGATTAAAATCTTCAAATATTTTTGTTTTTAATAATATCATCGAATTATTTGAATACGTTATCATAAGATAATTCAAAATTCCATATAGAATATTTCAAAATATACCCTGTGATTATATTCTAAAAATATACCTTCACGGGAGAATAATCCATTTATAGACATTCTATGCACATTCTTTAGGGAATAATCCTGCCATATTCATTCAAGCATATTCTAGGAATATTCTAAAGGCATGTATATATTTCGAGAATATTCTATGAATATGTGGAATATATACGTTCGTTTTATGATATAGAGGGAATTATATGATAGGGGTAGTCCTCCATCATATAAAAAAAATGTTTAGGAGATAATAATTATTCAGTTCTGAGTTGTATTTTCCGCCTATGAAGTTGATAGTAAGAACTAAAGTCTTGAAACTGATTTTGAAAGCGTTTATATTGTTAAGCAGAGGTGGTGCACTAATGACATCTTGAACGCTCAAAGACCTGAATGGAAAGTTTTCATTTCTGAATTTTTCAATTCTTGTTCGATACTCACTTCCTCAATTTATATCAAGTGAGTGAAATTTGCAATCGTACTATTAACCGTCGCGAATGTCCCACTTCGCATTTTTTACCTGAGCCACTATCAATGGCATAATATATAAATGAGAGAAAGGAAGTTAACACACTGATATGAAAAAATCTAGTATGATTTTAAAAAGTGAAACAGTAGTTAATTGATAGATATCAAACGAGATATCCCAAGACTCCCCATGTTATCAATGAAAGTTTATTGCAGCGTCCTTCGCGGTGAGTGATGTAGCACTATTGTTTTCAATTAAAAAAAAACAGAGATGATACCCTCTACGTAAATTCAATTTTACCTCAGTGTCTATTTTTGCGATGAAGACTGTTATGAATATATCAGATTATGAGTGTTTTATAGTTTATTATACCTACTATCCTAGTAAAATCACCTTTGAGGTAATACGTAAATTATTCAGTGGCAATGAGAAAAATCGGTTAATATTTTCAACGAACTTGCTTTTTGAATCAAACAATTTATTATTTCGCTAAGAAATTTAAAAAAAAAATGTTTTTTTTCCTTTTGATAGTTATAATGAACATGAGTCATGTTCAATGTCTTTTGATTTTTCAGCACTTATCCGTCCATATTTATTGAAATATGACCTACAATATGAACTTCTTGCACCAAAGGATCTTACAAAAAATCTTCAGAAAAGGAGAGAAGCTGCATTTGCTATAAAATTACATTACTTCAATATATTACCGTTGAGCTTACAAACGGATTCTGTTATAAAGGTAAGTGATATTCAGATTCTGAAATTAATTAATGAAACAAAAATTCATTACAACCATTGAATGTTTGAAATTCAGACGTTTGAACTTATTTTCTTCACGAATATTTTCCGTATATGTATTTTTTTTCTTCTTTGTAACTAGTTACATAATCTCCTAGACCATCTAGTATATATTCTGAAATACATCAATGCGCTACATTCGTCTCTAACATTATTCAACACTCCCAAATGGTTATTACTGGAGCTTTTTCCCAACACCAAATCGTTATTTTTAACACCTCGACACGTGTTTCGATCACCAAGTGATCATCATCAAAGAGGATTTAGTTTTGGGAAAAAACTCCAGTAATATTCATTACTACACCAAAGGTTCCAAACAGTACATCATAAGTTCAAAGAGGAAGATCAAAACTAGAAACTGATGCGAGCTAATCCCATTTATGCTATAAAGGTAACCCATTCAGGTAAACCATCAGGTATACAGGTATACCAACCTAAATTAATTTTACAATTTTGCCTTATCTATTATTTTACAATATATGTTTATATAAAACAATTTCCAGCTATATAAAAATTAATTTCACAATATTGCCTATACAAATTTATTTTTGCAATGTGTCCTTATGTAGTAATCAGTAAACCCAACAACATCATTTTATTTTATTTTAACAAGCTATATAGTATGTATGCTCTTTGGTATATGTCCGTCATCATTATTCATAATATTATTGTGTTTACTTATTTCTACACTCTCATAGGCATCTAGTTGCCTGTTGTTGTTAACTTGTCTAATTAATCTCAATGAACTGAAGTCTATGGAATGGTTTTGTTGCAACATATGATGGGCGACTGCTGATTTTTCAGGTCTTCCATATTTCGAGTATGCTATGTGTTCCTTATATCTTACTTTAATAGATCTTTTCGTCTGTCCATAATATTTTGCATCGCAGTCCTTACATTCAATTTCGTAAATTCCAGACTTTTCCGAATTCTCGACTTTGTCTTTTGGACTTCCCAAAAGGCTTTGTAGTGTATGACTTGTTTTAAAAACCACCTTCTTACCTAGTTCCTTGAAAATCTTTCCAAAGTTCCTCGTATATTGGTGGTATGGAACTGAGATGTATTCATCTTGGTTTTTGTCCTTTCTGAAAGTCGATATTTCGTTCATTCTTAACCTAAAATTCTTCCTCCTTAGTAACTCCCAAATGGTGTTTTCATTCGATCAGTAAAAATATGTTCTCCAATTTCTGTTCGACATATCCACTACAAATCCATTTCTACAATAAAAAATTGTTAAGAAGACCAGACCAGAACGGATAATTAAGGTCCATGCTCCGTAATCCAAAGGATCAGATACCAGTGGAGTCCCAATGAGTGTGCGAAGTACTATGCCAAGACTGTGACAAGACTTACAACGGCCAGACCAACAGGCGAATCAATATTCGCAGAAATGAACACAAACAAGCAGTGAAGGGAAAAGTGACCACGTCTTCTCTCTTTCAACACGGTTTGGCGACAGGACAGAACATAAATTTCGAGAATTCAAAAATATCAGCATGCAATGGAAACTTCTACTGTCGAACAATCAGAGAGGCTATCGAAATTAAAAGATGACCTAATAATATGAACAAGAGGAATGATGCGCGAAGATTACCAACAACAAGGAGATCCGTTTTATCGTTTCACAAAAGCAAACAGACCGCTTAACCTCAGAAGCAAAACTCACATGACAATACAGGTATAATAACAGAGGTGAGAAAAGCAGCTCAGGGCCAAAATAGGTAGTCCAGCAAACAAAGGTAGTGGTAGCAACCCATGTAAATGGGAGCATCCATCCCTGTGAATTAAGATACAGTACTCCAATTAATTTGTTCAGTTTGTGAAACTCCAGACATCACCAGAAGATGGCAAATGAGACTTTGCCGAAACACTGTGAAAATAATCCTCATTAGAATAGAAAACACAGAACACCGAGCGGAACCCGAGAAAACAGCTTATCATACAGTGTGAGTCAACAAGATTCCGTTGGTTCATTGCTATCAGAGAAAACAATTTTTCGAACTGCTCAATTTTTTTTTGCCGTCACATCGATAAATACTAACTTTAAAATATTTTTTTCGCATATTGGGTGGTTCATCCGAGCGTGGCCAACCAAAGTTATATTTTCATAAATAGAACACTCAGTATATGAATAGGTTATTCGATTCCCTCATTTTTTAGCTCTCGAACGAATTTTTGTTTTCGAATTTCCATTGCGGCATTAACACGTTATTCCAGAAAAACCTATTTTCCAGACAATTTTTTTTTTAATTTACCGTCCGCATGTCTTCAGCAAATAATTGGATTTTTTTAGAAAAAGTTTGTCAACATCATTGTGATAATTTCTGGAATCTCAACTTTTGGAAACAATATATAGGGTGCTCGGCAAAACCGGCCAAGTTTCATTCATTTTCAAACAGACACAATTCAACTTTTTCAAAAAAAACCTATTTTTTCATGTGTATGAAATTGTAAGATATGCAATGCCTCCTCTAAATGT